AGTCCTCGGCTCTTTTTAAAAATACGTCTTGCAGAGATATCTATACTGACATAGAACAGGTGTAAAAATAAGGAAATGAAGCTCACCTGAACCACTTAGTATGGTGAGCCTCGGATGTTAAGAGGCTCTCCCGATAATCGCACGTGGTGTGGAAAAGATCACCCCGGCCCCTTTTCCTTTGCCGTAACCGTTTAAGCTTTTTCTTATTTGTAATTGTGAGTATGTGTCAACGGTCATGTGGATCAAGTACGTCTCAAAGACAACAACCTAAAATATGTGCCTCGGTTACCACGGCCCACATGTAGGTTTCGTTATGTCTCGTATTTCTGGTCTTAACATGGGGGCTACTATTCTTAGCCTTTTCGTTCTGTTTTCTAGACGTCTGGCCAAGTAGGTAGTACCATTTATGCAAAAGGATGCAACGGTAAAACGATCGTGATGTGACTTCAAATCCTGACTTTGCCAGAAGACGGGTTATCTCAACTTTGATCGGAAGCGGCCCTCTAGATGTGGAGCCTAAACTGTACTAAAAATTTTTTTGCGCAGCCTAGGTAGCACGTAATTTCCAACCAAAGGCCCTTTCCTTAAACTGGCATATGAAATGATTAACAGTGTACCACATTGGCTGGAAACCTTTCATGTCCCCACTACTCCAACTGAGAATAAATATTTTATCTCTTTCTGGGGCAGGTGGGGTTGGAGCGGTGGGTGTTTTCTAGTAGGGGAAAAGGGCAGGCGATCAAGATAGTAAGAACTTTTCTGCCCTAGCAGGACTGAACCACTAAATATGTTCTCTCTTCATGGAGGATATGTTGATTCCTGTAACTATAACTGTATATGAACTCTGCCTGGCTTCGGAAGAGGAAGCCAGAATTAAAAAGATTGCAAAAATAGGGAGATGTATAATTACATGGATGTGAAAAAATAAATATAAAATAAAACATGAAAAAGTGCAATTACGATTGGACCCTGCATGGGTATGACTTGTATTAGTTAGTTTGTGGTTGAGGAATGGTGTCAGTAAAAAATCTAACTTATAAAAAAATGTAGCCCCTCTTACCGAATTCGGTAAGAGCCTATCACAACTGTATTTCTTACGGTTATACTTCGGAGATTCGGGCCGAAGATAGGTGATAAAATAGGATACTATTAATGCCCTTACTTAACCTGGTCATACATAACTAGAGCTATAATTTTTTTTTCTCTTTTTTCTTTTTGGCCTGTTGCGTTGCATTGACAACGCACTACTAGTAATACTTGAGACCCCCCACTGAAATGTAGGCAATTAGGATGCCGGTGATTCGCTAGGATCCGCTGTGGCTAGTTGTCTTATGTTATTGATGTTCTCCGAGATAAATGGCTTTGCCGCTAAGTCGGGTCCAAGCTGCCGATTTCCGGACCCGCCAATGACGAGGGACGAGGGCCGACGGCGCTTTATTATCCTTTGGTTCTCTTAGTCAGCCCACGGTTTCAAAAAGACACTAGTTTGACCATAAAAAGAAGCCCTAAGACACTTAGATAGGGTACCTACTTCAGCCTTTAAGAAAAAAAAAGGTTAAAGCAAAGAAAGAAAGAAAGAGAATGATAGCACCAGGTAATATTAACAACTATATGAGCCGAATCTCTTGGGAAATCTATGAACTTTTAGGACTTCGTGTCATGCGGGTCGTTAATGTCCTATGAACTATCATATATTCAGATTTATCTACATAGAGAGCAAGACAAAGGTAGTTATTATCAGATTAGCAGAGATGAATGCCATTTATATTGTATTATGCCTAAGCACGAGACTTGCATTTGGACCCCTTTAGCTAATTATACTTAGTATGCAACAAAAAACCACAACAATCATTTGTTACGCCCGGGTATCTGTCCAAGGACTCTGCGACCAGTTAGCTATCTTGGCTAAATTCGACTTACCTCGACGACTAAAATCCACTTGTGATCGACGACGAGGGGTGGCCCGAGTTGGTCCGAACGAGTATCCGCGATACTGATGACGATACTTATACGAAGGTAGTCCAAGGTTGAAAGGCCAGGCTAATTGAGTATGTATACTCAATTATTAGATAGTGCGAACGAGTTGAGCTGGTAACAATATAGAAGGTATATCTGTAGTAACAATTTGGATTGATCACGAAGAACTAAACTAAGTACATGAATGAGTGTCCTTATATATCCTTCCTTGGAGCATCTTGATATATTGACTGGTATATCGTTGGTATACGCGTGGTATACGATATACTGAATTGTATACTTTCCGGTGATCGCTTGTATACCATTTAACTTATCACGTGACACAGCTGGTCTCGTCCGTCGGCTAACCGTGTCATCGGATACTCCCTATAACCGTCCCTTGATAATCCTGCGGCTGCTTTCAGCTCTTATCGTCCTATGGTTTTCTTCTTTTCGTGTCCGCTTTCGATAAGGTGCGCTAGACAAGGGCCTGTAACATCATTCTCTGTGGGACACTCTGTCGTATTGATACGGGCGCGGCGTGCTTGAACCATGGCGGCTCTCATTGGTGAGAAAGTCGTCTCTTGGCGAAGGACACTCTAGCTCACTCTGAAGGGTATTACCATCATTGGTCCCGCAGCTGTCAGGTGATATGTCTTGTAAAGCCATCTGCAAACACTGTATGGTAATGTCCTTCACATCTAACGTAGATAGCAGGGTGGAGATCGATTCGCGCTGCCTCTCGTTCTCGAGGAGAACATGTTGAATGTCCCAGGAGCTGCGATTGCTTTCAACTTGTGTGACTGCACGTAGAAGAGACTCGTTTACCAGGTACTGGTCCGCAAGACGAGACTCCAAACCCCATACCTTCTGTCTTTCCAGCGTCAAGTCTCGGTCTAACAGCCATTGACACTCCAAGAGGCTGCTAACGGTAAATTCCTGATGTAATATCTTATTTTCCAATCTTGTGATGACTGTTCTCAGATCGGCGCAATGGTCGCATGTTTGTTTGTGTGAGAACTGGTGCTCCATCTGGAACTTAAGCTCCTCTACCTCTTGCCTTAATCCGTCTTCCCGCTCGAGGAGCTTCTCCATTAAGCAGCAGATTGTCTGAATTTCGCTTGCGACGGATGGATCCTTCTATCGTCAGTTTAATAAACCGTTGTCTGGGGAAGCAGGCCTCACCGAAACGTGTGGCATTGTGTTGGAGAGAGTCTATTAGTACACCTGGCCTGTTGGTAAATGTCCGTCGGATTTTGGACTGAGAGATCAGTGACCTGGAAGCAGAACAAAGCGCTGGATAAACGAGCTACTATAGATATAATTGCTATCGAGGAACAGCTGAATTGGCTTATTTGCTGGACCAAAACAGTATCTATTTGGAACGAGACGTCTTTATTATCCGCGTAGACCAAACCAGTATACGCGGAACTAAAACGCGTCGCACTATTGAACCTCACAGACACCAAATTGTGACATCCAAGCCAGTCCGAGGCCTATCTGTGTGCTAGGCACTTCTTGGAGAGCTGAGAATACGACTGATTTTACCCTTTACTATGTAATTTTCAACACGCTCAGGGTGAAAGTCAGAAGCCCCTCCTTGAATTTTCTCGACTGGGCATCCGGCCCCCAAGAAAGTTAAGTTCGTGGCTCCGGTACGCCGGTGGGGCTGCTGAGGTGTCCATGCTGGAATAAAAACAGATATACACGATGAAGAAACGAAGCTCATTTGAAAGACTATGACCTTCGGCTATTAGGCATTGCCCCTCGCTGCCGATATGGGTAGGGAACTCTCTGGGGGAAGAATATAAATTAATAAACTTAGATCAGGTACGATAAACCAAGCCAAACCATTACAAATCGGATATAAGCTTCAGCTGAAAAGGCCCACTTAAAGCTCCGGTACGCCTCCCACTCAACGCAAGACACATATCCACAGCGGATAATGCGGAATGCTTCCCGCCTCCCTTTCCCCCTTCCTACTCCGGTTTCTTTTTTTTCGTTTTGGTCTCGCGTTTTCTTCCCTTTTCGGCTAACCTGAGAAAAGTAGCTCTTGGTAATAAAGAGATTCGGCACATCTAATAAACTAGCTACATCAGCCGCGTACCTTCACGATCAACATAGTATACTAAGCTTATGATAATAGATACGCAAGAATTCGCGATTGTTCCTGAATGAGGTCATCCATTTATTCATTCCATATCTTAACCAGACATTCGAATTTGATCAACCCAAGATCGAAGCATTAATAAGATATTTTTTGGCTATGGATAGCTAGGAGAAGTTACAACTTAGTGGAGAACTATTTCGTGGACTTGACCTAGAACCATGGAACATAAAATGAGGACCCATAAAAGATTCCGTGCCACAAGCCGCCCATTCCTTAGCAAGCGTAGGGAACTGTTTTGTCATAGGAATAAGAAGAAAAATAGGAAAATGTACTATGAAATGTCGATCAAAACACGGGGAAAGCGCGGGAGATCGCACTTGTGAACTTAATGCATGTCCATGCTCCACAGCGCTGATCAAGATTTAGAGTTACATGGGACTTTTTTTTTAATTGGTTGACCGGTCCGATCCGCTAAAAGTTTCTCAAAAAATGGAAGGCAGAGATGGACTCATATGTCATAATTAGCAGTCAAGCTAAATGGTATGACAGATTCTTCTCTTTTTTTCTGTTCTTTTTCCTTAATAGAAAGGAGAGAAATAATAAACGAGGTGGGTACAAGGAAGATGATTTGTGCTTGTGGAATATGAAGGCACACTAGAAACTAAATAGCTAGAATATTGATTAGTGTATGAAATGGTGAATAAATTTACTTTTTGCCACCAACTTTCTGTTGGAGATCAGGAAGGGAAAAAGAATTGAAAAATAATTTAACCGAAAAATTCTCCAATCTTTCCCTTCCTCGGCTTATGAGTAATTTATAGTAGCTCTCGCAAATTGTGCATCTAGCTGGTATTGCCTACTTTTTCAACATGTATAGATTGCTAAAACGCCTTTTGCAAAGCCTACACTGGTGGGGGTTATAGTAATTGTCTAGTACTCCAGACAATATCATACAAGGAGATGGTAAAGGCCAATAATAAAAAGGAAAATACCCTGCTCCATCAACCCATGATCTGCTATAGTTGATCTAGCGGGCTTCGACGTCGCAAATCAACGGCGGCCTTACTCTGTGATTGGAATGACACAGGATGCTCCATGCGCTTAGTTAAATGCCCAAACTTTTCCATCGCAAGCCGCTCGCACTTGACGACTTTCTCCACCATCTCCGCCAATTTGTCAACTCTGCCAGAGATATTGTCCATCTTGTCATGAAGACTACTCGCCAATATGTCAACCCTGTTGGACATAACCTCGATCTTCTCATGAAGGCTGTCCTCTAGTCCTTCGACTCTGCTGGATATAGTGCTGGTTTCCATATCCAGCACACTGAAAACATCGGGGATGTTTTGGAATTTTAGTGCAAAAGCATCAATGACACTTGAATGTCGCTCAACGGTTTCCGAAATTGACCCGGCTTCTGTCGTTAGGTTCTGTATTGCAGTGCTAAAGTTATCAATCGAAGAATGTAGAGCTGCAACTGTCGATGTATCACCACTACTGGTCACGGAAAAGTTGTCAATATTGAATATCCCATCGGCATTTCTTTCGGAAGGCTCAGAGAACGTCTTCTGGCAGTTAAATTCACTTTCATTTTCTGGTTAGCATAAGCAATATGGGCAAGTCATTGACTTCCTTCTTACCTAGGCAATTCAGTGGGTGGGACACTCTCCTGACTACGGTACATCGTTAGTGATTTCTTGGCCAACCGTAGCGAAAACACAAACCTTTCCCCCCAATTGTTAAGGCTTCTTTCCTTTAGACGCAAGCCTACGTTTTCATCCCCAACCAGAGTAGTAGAAGTGGAAGCATTGAACTGTGAGTGGTCCACAATGTAGTTGCTACTGGGAAAGTTATTGAGGAAGGCGTTTCCAGGTTGGGCAAAAGTATGGTTCACCCCGTTGTACGGATTGAACAGATCATTGTACGGCCACAACTCGCTATTCGAATAAGGGTTCGGTTCGAAGTCCTCACATCGTTGGTTAAATAAAGACATATTTCAAGTTTCTTTTTTTTTTAGGCGGAAAGAGATGAGAGAGGAAGAATGATGAAGTATTGTCCACGCAGGTGGGATATCAGCATCGAAATGAGACCACCAAGTGGGCTTTATATATCCTTAGAGCGTACAATGATTGCAAACGGGTTGCCTTTACTAACCGTGTGCAGGGATTAATTATTGTTACATGGTTTACGACGGATTTTATCATCACTGGCCTAAGTTGCCTATCCCACGTACCGTTGACAGCGAAGGACCTAGCTGTCGGACTGTGGGTCATCATTGATCGTTCCCCATACTGGCCAGGTGCCTGGCCTACATACAGGAGGCTAACAACACTTCTCATTTCCATATTGACACTAGCTCCCACCTAGGATGTTGATCACAGGGCCCGCCAATGATTTACTCCAGCAGCCCCACCAGGCTACTTTAATTGTTTCTCAGTGGACAGCCGAGCAGATCATAGAACCACGGTTCGTTTGACTGTTAGCTCAGGCTAAGGGCGTCAAGACAAAGAATGCGATACCGTAATGGGGTCGCGACTGTTGATAAAAGGAAAAGAGAAGGTGAGCCGCCATTCGCCTTGTAATCTGCCTATTGACGAATGAAAGTCAGTTACGGGTCGCTGCTCACCCGGGGGACGGTATACTTCTATGTTGAAACACTAGGGTGACATTCGGGACCATGAAGCACGCATAAAAAATGAGACAAGAATAGTAACGAAGAGCCTTGTCAACGGCGAAATGGGCTTCGTCTTAGTTAGACTATCTCAGAGATTTCGGAGTGAGCTGGATAGAAAAACCCATAAAGGCCCGGGCAAAAGCGGATTGTAGAAGACATTCAGCACTCTCTCAAGATGCAGCGGATAGACGACATTGGCTGGCTCGGTTTGGGCCTCAGTGAAAGTAAGAAGTTTACTCTTTTGGATTATGGCCGCTTAGATCGTGTGATTACGGAAATGGGCGATCCCGCGAATCAGTATCCGACATTATGCGTATACATGGGCGGCAGATCCAAAGATGCTTGTCTTCGGCGGCTGTATCCAAATAACAACATAAAACGGCATGCCTCAACCGCTGAGATTAAACTACGCTATGATATTGATTCCTTAAATACCACGCGGCCGGTGCTGTTCACGGACGGAGACCTGAAATGCATGCCATCCGCCTACCCCTCTACGAATGGCCGACCTAAGTTGGAACGCTCGATCTCATGGGATGCATCATCTGCAGAGAAAGCCCTGTATATTATCTGGGCCCGCTTGGTTTTTCTTTTCGCTGATGTAATCTGTGTGTTTGCTAACGACTTTGGTGATCTTCTTGATGTGGCTGGCTTTCTGCTAGAATGTCTTAGCCTGCAAGCACCATCATCATTACCATCCGCCGTTCGGCCGCGGGTAATCATAGTGCTGGAGGCCGGCTTGGATGGGGAACAAGAGGATATACAGAATGTAGAGCATTTCTACTGCAAGTTACACAAGGACGGTCCCAACCTGAGAGAGTACTTTTCGGCGGTCCATCTGATACGTCTGGAAAGCAGTCATCTGTCGGAGAATGCTCGGTATGAGCGGCTGAGGGCATTAATTATGGGCCAGTTGGATGACATGTGCACTGTCCGTGAAGACCACAGAGCTTTATTCAGTGCAACCCACCTTGGAGCGCTCTTCCGTTTGGCATTTCAGCACACAGCAGAAGGTATCTGCCGACCCTTTGATTTTGTGAAGGCAACTAGAGCACAGGATGAGGTCCCCTCAACGCTGAGCAGGAGCCTGGCACACTACATAGAGATAGGAGCGAAGGCGGGGCTCCGGTACGAGGAGCTTGCCACCTCCATCTCATCGGCTCTCTTGATGGACCATTACATCCCAGGGATGCTAGGTATGACCTACCCTCCATGGGACTTGATCCGTGTACTGACGTAGTACTATAGCGCTAGAGCCTCGGTCTATCTTCCAGACGCTGTATCGTCCTGCTGTCCGAGACGCGCTCCACATTCTCGGGTGGTATCAACCAGGTAAAACTATCGAGGAGCTGGTAGATGTTATTGAGTGCCGGCTGGTGGACCAATTTGAACTGCTTGACCGTACGGGTCAATCATCCTTAGAGTTTCGGCGCGAGCAGCTAAGGGCCTCCAGTGGACGGATCTGTCAGATAAGATCTAATAAGATTTGTCTTGTGTGCCTTTTTCGGGTTGCGCAGCATCGCCTGGATTGTGGTCACACACTCTGCGATCTTTGTGCTCAGTTATTTGGTACTCCTGCACCAGATATTGAGTATAATTTCACAATCGACGCCTGCCTTTGTTGCCTTTACCAAAGACCGCTTGTAATAGATGTCTTACCCCCAACAATGAATCCTACAGTTCTTGCTATTGACGGTGGTGGAGTACGAGGGGTTATTCCCTTGGAGTTTCTAATCCTTGTCCAGGAGAGTCTCGGTTGTTGCCCTCTGCAAGACCTTATTGACCTCGCAGTTGGAACAAGTTCTGGTATGTGCAGGAGTAAACTGGAATACGCTCTCTTTGTTTCTGTTTTTCCAGTTCGCTTTTTAGCATCTCAACATTTCGTTTAGTTATTGCATCCACCTTTGACCGCGAACGTGCCAATTCATCACTAATGCAATATAGGAGGCCTCAGCATACTAGGCTTATTCAATATGCAGTGGGGTGTCAAGAAGTGTGCCGATGTCTTTGACCGTATGGCACGTCGTATATTTCATGAAAGACGCAGTTCGACACTAGCCCGTGCATCGCAAGCTATGTTTGGAAGTCATTCTTTTCTCGGAACTGTTCACAAGTGGCTCTTATGGCTTCTTTATGATTCTTGTTACGATGGACGTGTTTTTGATCTGGCTCTAAAGGAAGTCTATACGATTAATAATCGTATATTCGACAGTCTTCTCCTGGAAGCCTCCAGTACAAGGTTCTCCAGGACTAAAGTGGGTGTCGTTGCAACTAGCATTGCTAGAGAGACCAGGTCTTTCGTGTTCGGGAACTTCAACGGCACAGAAACCGCCGCTGAAGATTGTGGTAAGTGTCGGGCTCCAAAGCTGGTTGAGTTAGTGTTTCCTTCGGACATTGATCGAGACGTAAGGATACGAGATCGTCCGGCCAGTGGAGACGGGCTCGGAGCCGTTTGTATGGGAAGCGTAAGTATGTTGATAGTAATTTTAGGTTGGTACTAACATGGAATTTGTCAGAGCGAGGGCTACCGCGGCCGCCCCCTTGTGAGATTCACCCTCCCACGGTTTATGTAAGTGGTCTAGACTGACAGCCAGAAGCTTCTTCCCCCCAGCCGATATTCGCGGAATTGGTTCGTTCCAGGACGGAGGACTCCGTGACAATCTCGCCGCGGACATTGCACGCCGATTATGCCGTCAAATTTGGCCCTCTCGGAAGCATCCAGCAAGGCTTCTATCGATGGGCACAGG